ATTGCCATCTCTAGTTTTTGATAAATTAGATAGGAATCAGATTTGGCTTTTGTTCAAAACCCACCAGGTTATTAGGGATTAGGGAATTCCAAACGTTTACATATGATTCCAAAATCCCAATTCTGATAGTATTAATCCAAACAACAATTTGGTGTTTATTCCAATTCTCCATTCTGAAACCCTTTTATCAAACACTACCTAAATAGTAGAAATCAAGATGTGGTTTAAAATAGACCATAGGGTTTATATGTAGGATTGTAGATCAGATTTACCCAAGTTTTTTACCAACAAATAAAGGAGTACAAGTGAAAAGTAACACAAATTTTGGTACGGATAGAAAAGAAAAGTATAATACTTTCAATGGAACAAAGAGTACATCTTATGGATGCTTCTACCTTAACTCATTTCAAAAATAAAAATTAAAGCAAAGAGATGCTCTACCTTGAGTCAGGTTTATTTGGATAGTAGATTAGAGTCAGGTTTATTTGGATAGTGGATTATTTATCAAATTTTATTTGATCGCATTATCATTACATGTTTCAATATTATTTTTATCTAACATACATCACATAAAAAAAGTGATATAGTATTTTTTTTTAAAAATTATCTCAAATAATCTATCATCCAAACACATGTTTCACAATGGGTCGTTGAAGCCAGTAGCTTTGTTTTTCATATTAATTGCACTGGCACACCAAGACATTCTTTCATCTTATCCGTCTCTTCTCCATTGTTAGTAGAAATGCATTATTATTTTGGCATTTAAGGCGAAACCACAAAACTAGTTACACGAGCAATTCTTTAACACTTAGCAGTAGCCGCCCTATAGGCTGTCCCTGTGGGGTTTCTATCCCACATCGCTCTTGGGGTTGGGGGGGGGTTTGGTAGATAAGTCCCCTGGACGTCCTCACAAGTTACCGGCTTTTGAGGATTATTCGGCGATTAGGTTTATTTGCGAAATTCTTGTGGCTTCATAAGAAGATGAAAGAAAAAGAGCAATTGTTTTATAATCCTCTCTCTAGTGGAGGCATTTCTCTCTCTAAAGAGAGCTTGTGGTGGGAGCTTTAGACAAGCTTCAAAAAGCTAAATCTGGAAGGTTTCACTTTCAATGCATTCAAGAAACTCTGCTATTGGTGCTCTTATTTCTACCACTACCTTTCTTTTTGGACTTCTTTCATCAGCTTAGGAATTTAAAGGCTGACGGATCTACAACAACATTTTGCAGACCAGCACCAACAACCCTTATAACTGGCTAGGGTGCGGTAACAACTGGCGGACAAAATCCACTGTCAGAGACAAAAATAAAACCTCGAGACACTAGGAATTAGTACGTATCGAAACAGGGGAAGGAGCAGGGGAAGCTAAAGCGACTTTAGGAGGAAGATGCAAAAATTAAAAAAAAAATTAAAAAACACTCAAGTCTCCTTAACCGCAGATCTACTTTACTGCATCCAAACCCCTTGGAAACCAGTACGAGCTGGGACAGGTAATTTCATATTCATATTCTGCTTTCCCAAGCTATCACCTTTTGGTTTGTCTAAGCTCTTCTCTTCTTTTTTAACTCTTGTTCTGGGAGTATATAGTAGATCCGCCCCTTTTGGTTTACATCTGGGTTAGCTTTCTTAACAAAGAGAAGTGTGTGAAATACCATTTGATTTATCTTCCCCATGGCGGAGGAACTGGCTGAGATTTTGCAAAACTTTGATCTCTCAAGTGCAGAGCTCCAAACCACTACCCTAGGACATGAGGAAATAGGTGGGGAGGGGGTTTCAAGAGTGTAGAAGTAGTTTGATTGGGAAGGTCGTGGGAGAGAAAGTATCGAACTATACTGGAATCAAGAAATTTGTGATAGCTGCGTGGAGCTTCCCAAGAGGACTACAAGTGGTGGAGCTAGGACCCAATCTGTTCCAATTCATCTTACCTTCAGCAAATGATAGACACAGGATTCTGACTGGTGGACCGTGGATAGTGGACAACCAAGTGCTGGTGCTAAGCGAGTGGTATGAAGGGATAGAGAAGGATGGTGAGGCGTTCAGGTCAGTTCCCTTATGGGTACAGGTATGGAATTTGCTAGTCCATTGGATGTCAAAGGAAGTTGGGAGAAGGCTTGGTTCAAACTTTCAGCCAATAAGAGAGGTAATTGTCCCTCAAACTGGTGGGAAAGAAGGAAGACACCTGAAAATTTTTGTGGTGGCAGACATCTCACAACCACTACTGCGAGGTACCATTGTCAAGGTAGGTGAACAAACTAAATCGGCTAGTTTCAAATATGAGAGGTGCCCGGATTTTTGTTATAAGTGTGGTATCATTGGACACAGTGAGAGAAATTGTCAGAGGCAAGATGACAAGGGGGTGGGGAAAAAGGATAACCAATATGGCCCTTGGCTAAGGGAAGGCAATGTGAGGAGTTCCCAGCACAAGCAACAAGTTGGTATTGTGTATAACCCCCAAAAATATCACTGGAGACTTCAAGATGGGGAGTGGAGGGAGCAAAGGCAATCAGAGGGCCCCAAAAAAGCCTTGGAAACTCAACTTGACAATGAAAGTGGTCTAGCTAGGAAGCTTGTGGCTAATACGGGGTTGGTGACAAGCAATGTCAGGGGCCAGGATGGGCAGGGGAGTGGTTTGATAGGAGATATGAGAGTACATTCAGAGAAGCTTAATGAATCTGGTAGCAAAGTGGGTTCGGAGTTAACGAAAATTCTACACATAGGACAATCAAAGGGGGGTAATCTGGAATCCAAATTGCCGAGCTCATATGAGGGGATATCTCAACCAGAAGAACAGCTCACAGTAAAACTAGCCTCTGAATGTCCAATAATGGAGGATGAACAAGTTAACTTGATAATCCAAATCCCATGGGATGAAGGACAGAAGGATGAAACACCAGGTGCTGCAACTACGAATATAACTGTTGAGAGTGGACCAAAGATCAAAGAAGCTTTGGTTAAACAGTCCAGACGAATCCAGAGAACCCTAAGATCCCCAAGGACACCTAAGCAACCAGAGGAAAAAGTGAACATCAACACAGTTAGGGAAAGGAAAGCTGGGAAAAGGAAAGGGTTCAAGGGGGAACTTGATATGGATATTGATGAGGACACCATACAAGTGGGTAAGAGGAGCAAGGTAGATCTTATGGGTAACTTGATCGCTGCTATGGAGGAGGGGGAGGGGTCCAACCCTTTATGGACCCCAATGGCTAAATGAGAGTCCTGGTGTGGAATTGTCAAGGAGTGGGAAGTCCCTTGACAATTCCTCAGTTAAGAGAGGTGAACAACCTCTCCTCTCCAGACATAGTATTCTTGTGTGAAACCAAAAATAGAAGTAAGTATCTGGAAAAAGTCAAAAATATTTTGAGATTTGATGAAGCTGTCATCGTGGATGCCATGAACAAGGCAGGAGGGATGGCATTTCTTTGGAGGGAGGAGATTAGGATAAAACAAGTGCTCAAGACTGCCTTTACAATTGAAGCTCAGATTGAGGATAAGGAAAGTAGATGGGATTGGTGGTTTATTGGTATATACGCAAGTAGTGATGATTAAGTTAGGAAACAGCAATGGCAAGTACTCCAAGCTAGGAAAGTTTTGTGGGGAGAAAGATGGATTATGGCCGGTGACTTTAATGACATTGTTTCGAATGAAGAAAAATGGGGTGGAACCTGGAGGGACGAAGGTAGCTTCATGGCATTCAAAAACTTTATCAATGATAATCAATTGATGGATGTGGTTTTGAGGGTCATCCTTGGACCTGGTGTAATAATTGGGAAGGTGCGGGTGAGATAAAACAAAGACTGGATAGAGGTTTATGTAGCTATCCTGGGCTCCAAATTTTTGATAAGGTTAACTGTAAACACCTGGATTCATTTGCGTCAGATCATAGCATGTTGATTATAGAGACAAATCCAACACAAATCAGGAGAAAGAAGAGGTTCTACTTTGACAAAAGGTGGCTCCAACAAGATGAAGTCTTGGATATTGTCAAACTAGCGTGGGACCAAAAGGATGATGGCTCAAGGATGTTCAAGGTTGTGCAGAAAGTGAAAAGGAGTAGAGTAAATCTACTGAAGTGGAATAGTAAAATCCAAGGCAATTCAAAACAAAAAATAGAGCAAATCAAGGACCAACTGCAGCAACTAAATCTGAGTGATACTGAGGCGAAGCGAGAGAGGAAGAAGAGTCTTAAGAATGAACTAAAAAAGTCTTATAGAGACGAAGAGATCTACTGGGGTCAAAAAGCAAGGGTGCAATGGCTCAAGGCAGGAGACAAAAATACCAGATTTTTCCATGCCAGTGTGGAGGGGAGAAGGAGGAGGAACAAAGTGGTCAACATCCAAAGAGAGGATGGCACATAGACTAAGAATGAAGATGAGCTCAGTGTAGAGATTGCTAGCTATTATAGAAAACTCTTCAAGACTTCAGACGCAAATGAAATGGAGGAAGTGTTAAATGGTATTCCACACACAATCTCAAGTAGTACGAATGATAACCTAACAAAACCTGTAGACGAAGGGGAGATTAGATCAGCTCTCTTTTCTATGAATCCTAATAAAGCTCCGGGTGTAGATGGAATGCCTCCCTTTTTTTCCAAAAGTTTTGGAACATAGTTAAAAAGGATTTGGTAGGAGCTGTCCAAACATTCTTCCACACTAGTCATCTGCTCAAGTCTATAAATCATACAATCATTTCTCTCATTCCTAAAATTTTGATTCCCACATCCCTTAAGCACTATAGACCTATTAGCTTGTGCACGACAATATATAAAATCATAGCAAAGATTCTAGCTAATAGGTTGATGTAGGTTCTTCATTTCTGTATCAGTAAAACTCAGTCAGCTTTTGTTCCGGGAGGCAAATCTTAGACAATATTATGATTTCACATGAGTTTTTACACTATCTCAAAAACAAACGGCAAGGGAAAGAAGGATTTATGGCTGTAAAATTAGATATGTCTAAAGCTTATGATAGAGTGGAATAGACGTTCCTGGAAGCTGTAATGGGAAAAATGGGGTTCAATGACAAATGGAGAAGCTGGATCATGGAGTGCATTTCTACTGCTTATTACTCCTTCCTGGTTAATAGGGAAGTCAAGGAGTATGTGGTGCCACAAAGGGGCATTAGGCAGGATGATCCACTGTCACCTTACTTATTTCTCCTATGCTCGGAAGGCTTTTCCAATCTCCTCCAAAAGGCTGTGACTGAGAAAAAAATTGAAGGCATGAGAATCAGCAGGCAGGGACCAAGACTATCCCATTTATTTTTTGCAGATGACTCTTTGATATTTTGTAAAGCTGATTCCCAGAATGCAACAGAGCTCAAAAGGTTACTTAACATATATGAAAGAGGAACAGGCCAGCTGATTAACCTGGAAAAATCCTCAGTCATATTCAGCAACAATATGCAGTAAGAAATGAAGGTGGAAGTCAGCCAAGCTCTAGGAAATATCCATGTTGTAAGCCAAGGTAAATACTTGGGTCTCCCAATGGTGGTAACAGGATCTAAACAGTAGCTGTTCGGATATATTAAATCCAGTATTCAACAGAGACTTAAAACTTGGAAAAATAAACTTTTGAGTGCAGCAGGTAAGGAGATTATGCTCAAGTATGTGGCATTGGCACTGCCAACATACACAATGTCTTGCTTCAAGCTACTTAAAAAATTGTGCAAGGAGATTAACTCCACAATGGACAACTATTGGTGGGGTAAGGAGAATGGGAAGAACAAGATGCACTGGAAAGCTTGGAACAAGATGTCACGGAACAAGAAGGCAGGTGGCTTGGGCTTCAAGGATTTGGAGGCTTTCAATCTAGCCTTATTGGGAAAGCAGATTTGGAGGCTGCTCACTCAACCAAATTTGCTGGTCAGTAGAGTGCTAAAGTCCAGATATCACCCAAAGCAATCTATATTCAAGAGTAAAGTTGCTGGGAATGCTTCATGGATTTGGAAAGGACTGATGCGAGCTAGGCTGATGGTTGAAGAAGGGACTCGAAAAAGGATTGGTAATGGCATGAGTACTAACATTTGGGAGGACAACTGGATTCCTATGACACCAATTGGAAGAGTGACAACACAGCAGCCACAAGGAGTTAATTTGGTTAAGGTGACAGACTTGATCGTCCAGAAAAGATGGAACAAGAACCTTCTCTTTAGGAATTTCACCCCCATGGAGGTAGAAGGAATACTAAGCATCCCCGTAAGTTTAGTAGACAGAGAGGACAGCAACTTCTGGATTCATAATTCAAATGGGCATTATTCAGTGCCATCAGCCTACAGGGTACAAACTGAAGGGCTGAAGGCTTACGAGCAGGAGTTTAGGGGGCTAGCTAGTACTAGCTGGAGTATCCAAGGTTAGAAAATTTGGAAGCACCTGTGGAAAATGAATATTAAGCATAAAGTGAAGCTTTTCTTATGGAAATGTCTCAACCAAGCATTACCTGTAAGACACCTCATTCACAGTGGAACACAACAAAGTGATCCTACATGTAGAGTGTGTGAAGAAGACTGCGAAACAGTTGAACATGCGTTACTTAACTGTAATCATGTTAAACTGGTGTGGAGAATGGCGCCTATCCAGTGGGAGGGAATTACAAATCTGCAAGGTTGTTTTAGTTCATGATGGACCTTGGTGATGGAGGGGAGGTCGAGAAGTGAGGGATATGAACACATTTCTCTCACATCTAACATTCTTTGGCATATCTGGAAGAGCAGAAACGCGAAGGAATTTGAAGGTAAGCAGCATCCCCCACTACGAATAGTGCTGAAAGCTCAGGAGGAATGGTTGGAATATGGTGAAGCTACGGTCATAGCTTTAAAGATGAGTACAGAAGAAACAGGAGATCAGCCGCAACACCCCAACAACAAGAAGAAATAGCAAGCATTCTGAGGTTAAGGTTTGCTATAGAAAGAGCAAGGACAGCCCCCAAATGGGGATTGGAGCAACTGTCTCTTTGGATAATCAACAACTGATGAGAGGATGGGCTTTACAGGAAAGATGTTCTGGCCATAAGCTAATTGATGAACTAACTGCAATTAAGCTACTGATGTGTAAAGTTGCTGTATAGAATTTGGAGAGGTTAGAAGTTCATGTCCAGAATAAGCAGACGCTCCACCTCATCCAACAGACGAAATCTTCGGATATACGAGTGGTAACACTGTTGAAGGATATACATAGCCTTAAGTACCTGTTTCGCATGTGCTTCTTTTGCCTAGTTAATAGGGATATTAACCATATTACTCATAGAATTAGCGCTCATGCGCTAGACTTTTTTTATGACCAGGAATTTTGGATTCCTCAGTGATAGTTAGCACTGACTGTGTAGTTCCCTCAAGTCTTTACTTGAAATTGTAAAGTTTTTGTTCATTTATAAAATCACTTATTGTTTCGAAAAAAAAAGTTACACGAGCAATTGATCAATACTAGAAGCATAAGTACGTAACACTGGACCACATATGTTCAAAAATTATCTATATAAAGCAAGTAATATCCATAGCCCGATATACAAAAAGTATTCTTAGCACAATTGCACTGAACACTACTTCCTAGACTAGGGCTGTCAACGGGTCGAAATTGAATATTTTGGATCTAGATCCGCATAGCTATACTTGTATTGGATTCCATCCGGATACTCGACGGGTCTTGAACTTATTCTTCCAGATCCGGGTCCGATCGGGTTTGGAGGCATACCCGACCAAAAAATTTAGGCCAAAAAAATGTAAAAAATATCTTTCTAAACAAACATTAATTGTACACCACAAATTTCAATTAAAAATCACAAATTATTTTTGATTCTAATGCTTACAAATTACAATTTCTAAAAATCCAAACAAATATTAAATACTCAAATATATTATCAAAATAATTACTTATTCAAATGGGTTCGGGTCGAACCCGAGTCGGAACCCAATATTCCGTACCCGACCCATTTTCAGATTAGCATAAACAGGTCTGGGTCGGGTTCAGGTAAAGAAAAATGTAACTATACTAATAGGCTGTAAATTGTAGTGCATTTATAGGTATAAGTTGCTACTTAACCATGTTATTTGAACTTTATTTTGAAGAAAAACTACTTGATTTTACTCTTATATTGTTCTTATAGGTGACAATTTCAATTGGAGAGAAAATGGACTAAAAATGTGGTATGAAGAAGCAATGAAAGAGAATAAAGTCAACAGAAAGAGGTTTCGCAGGAACGACATGTTTCAGTGTTTTGGTAATACCCAAGTTGGATTGAGATGATTCTCGATTCAATTTGAAGTTAAGAGAATGCTCTACAACTTTTATGAAGATCTTACAGTTTCGTTCTCCCGTTTTCATAGTCAAAAATTCAAATTACTGAAGTGCAGCTGCGCTGCAAAGCTCTTACGACCAGGTCTTAGAATTTAGGTTTATCTCGGCGTCTAGACCTCCAAATGATTTGATTCTTGTGGCGTTGGAAAGCTTATTCAAAGGGCTACAACTTGTCTATTTTGAGTAAGACTGATTCAGCCTATTTGATGGAGTTTTTGGGCTTCAAATTTGATCCATGCACAGATCCATATCAACCCGCGGACAGATCCAAGACTGGTGCTAGACATCTGCAGATTCTTTGGTGTTTTAAACTTAGCCTAATGACCGGTTCCGAACATTGGGCCAGTCATTGGGCAGGTCTTCATCGGATAAATGTGCGAAAACGTGATTTTTCGAGTCCAATAGAGCCTATTCCTACCCTATTTAGGATATATCTTCAGAAAACCATAAATAGGAGTTCTTTAGGTCATTTTTAGGGAGGAAAAACATTAGTTTAGTTTAGTTTTAACATCTTTTCATAGCCTATTCTTGAGAGATCAAGATCAAATGGAGGCAAATCAAAGGCGCGCGTGAGGAGAAGATTAGAGCAAGCAACTGAGAAGTTTTCTTGCTATTTTTCTCATCTTTGTAGCAATTATTTGAATTCGTGGTTTTAATCTCTTAATCATGTTAAACTAAGTTGTTTCTAGGGTTAGGGTTTTTATGAAGGAATTTGATTAATTTTTCTAGTTTAATTTCTTGCCTTTTACTATGATTTATTTATCTTGATTTAATCACATGTTTCTGACTGGCCACCATAGGCATGTTTTTAGGGTTTGTATTGAATTGAGAAGGGATATACAGCCTTGTACTAGATAGATAAATATATTTAACCTAATCACAAGAGTAGCTTACGATTTGTATGATACACTTATATCACCAAAGTTCGTAAAGGGTTTAATTGAATACTTGCGATCTCGAGAGAGACATAAGATTTAATTAGACACACTTTAGATGTATTGAGAGATAATCTACAATACAATTGTGTGATGCGTTCATGGTTTGTTAAGAAATTAATTAGATGATTGACTCAAAATTTGGATTAAAACCTGAAACCCTAAACTCGCCTATATTGTTTTCTCACCACTACTTTATTTGAATTGGTTATTGTTTTATTATTTAGTTAGAAAATACCACTCATTGAATTTAAATTTTTTTTATTTTAGAATAATTAAAGTAGAAAATTTACTCATCCCTGTGGGTTCGACCCCTAGAATACTCCAAGTGATTTTATTACTACGATTGACTCTGTGCACTTGCAGGAAAATATCGATCAAGTTTTTGGTGCCGTTGCTAGGTACGATGCTTAATTTTCTTACTTTAGTTATTATTTGCATACATTCTTGATCTTTTGTTTGTTTCTTCGTTATTTTGTTGGCTTTTATCTCCTTGGAGTTTGATAAATAAAAAAATTCAAACAAGTCCAAGATGGCAGTAGATAATAGAAATAATGTTGGACTTCGTTTGAGAGGCATCCAACGCCCAATAATTATAGCATCTCCTTATTGTATCTGGCCGAGTGAAGAGGCCAGAAATTATGAGTTGAAAACTATTCACTTTACCATGCTTCCATCTTTTCATGGTCTTCCTAATGAATGATGATCTTCTCTCCTTCATTCGTGAATTCTATTTGGTATTACAAACTTTTCCTTTGCATAGAATTATTGAGGATGATTTTCGAATGACGTGCTTCCCTTATTGTCTCAAGGATTGAGCAAATCATGGTTGCAAGAAGGGTCTTTGAGAACATGGAAAAATGTTTATAATATCTTCATGTCAAAGTACTATTCACCTCAAAAGACATTTGATTTGAGGAATAAGATTTGCACCTTTGCACAAATGGAAGGGGAGCTAATTCATGAAGCCTGGGAGCGGTTCAAGCTATTACTTGCTCAATGCCCTCATCATTAATATCCTTTGGCATTGCAAGTACAATTCTTTTATGTTGACTTGACATTTACAACACAAAATATGGTGGATATTGCAACTGGAGGATATATTGGAGATAAAACCCCTGAAGAATTGGTTGCAATATGTGAGTTGCTCTCTAGTAATTCACAACAAAAGGTAGTTCAAGGTAGAAGAGTAGCTATTCATGGGATGAGCACGTTAGTGTGATTGGGTTCACAAGTTGCTGAGTTGAGTCGTCATGTACAAGTGTTATCACATCGTATAACTCAACCACAAGACCCGTATTCATATGGAGGTTATGGTGTCCAGCAAGAGCATTACTTTAGTGCATATAGTTTTGGATGGAATAATCACCTTAATCTCATATGAAAGGATTCAAGAGTTGGACTTGCCAGACCACTAGAGTTTTTCAATCAGCAATAAGGGCCTCAAGGTCAACCACTACCTACACAAGAAAGAAATTCCAGTATGGAGGAGATGATGCTGCAGTATATGTAGAAATAGATCAATTGGCTTAATGGTAGCAGGCATATATTCATAACATTGAGAAGCAAGTAGGCCAATTATCTATGACATTGATTCAAAGGGAGCAGAGGGGATTGCACAACAATACAGAGATGACTCATATGGTGTCCACTATGGCATTATCCCTTTATTCAAAAAAGGTATTGGATGATCCTACTGATGAGCCAAAAAGTATACTCAAGGAGGAAGGTGTAGTAGATAACAACACAACCGAGACTTAAGAGAAGATACTTAGTTCGGGAAAAGAGTTTGAGTTGAAAATCAATCCATTAAGGTGCTCGAGGTTAGAGCTTATGTGCCACCCATTCCCTTTCCTCAGCAGTTGAAGAGCCCTTATCAAAGACTTTTAGATAGGTTACAAAAGTTACACATGGATATTCTAGCTAACGAAACTATTGCAAATATGCCCTCCTATGCAGAATTTTTGAAGGAAATTATGCAGAAGAAGAAGAAATGGGAGGCATTTACAAGAGTTTCACTTACCAAGGAGCCTAGTGCAGTACCTCATAATCGTCTTCCTGTCAAAATGAAGGATCCATGGAGCTTCATAGTTCCATGTTATTTTGAGAATATTTTAGTTGAAAAGTGCTTGTGTGATCTTGGTTCCAGTGTTAATCTAATGCCTTTGTCCTTTTTCAAGAAATTAAAGTTTGCTCAGCTCATACATACAACGGTGACTCTACAACTGGCAGATCGTTCAATTTGATATCCTATTGGTATTGTAAAGGACATGCTTGTAAAAGTCGGTAGATTTTACTTTCCTGCAGATTTTCTCATCTTGGATATGAAGAAAGATATTAGGATGCCTATAATTCTAGGTAGAGGACTCTTAGGCATGAGAGGGGCTCTTATTGATGTTCTTGAAGGGAAACTTGCTTTAAGAATGGGTAAGAATGTGCAAGAGTTTAAAATTTTTGAAACTTTGAAATGTTCCTCATATGTTAAGTCTTGTTATCATCTTGATATTATTAATACTGTTTCTAATGGAGTATATATCCGTGAGTCGTTATTTGATCCATTAGAAGGTATCATTACTTTGGGTGAGGATGAAGATATGAAGGCCGTAAATGTTTTAAGCATGGAACAAAATCTAGTATTTGCACCCCTACAGGATTTTCGCAAGTATACTTATTGCGTGGTACAGAAGCGCAATATGGCTGGGGAGGAAGAAACTTAGTTGTTACCTCAGACATACCTTGGGAGCCTTCCAAAGTATAACGTGGAAGCAATGAGACAGGTTGAAACTCTTTATCCTCCTTGAGCTTATCTAGCCTTCTCCGACTGAAGACGTTAAACTTAGCGCTTCTCAAGAGGCAACCAATTTTTTTTTCAATTTCATTTAATATTTTTCTTGTTTTTTGGGAGTAATGGTGGTGTTTATTTCCTTAGGCTTTTCTTGCTTTCTAGTTTGGGTTATTTGGTGGTGTTTTTAACCCGTATTTATAGTGTTCACTTATTCTTTTAGGTTGGTACGATGGCTTCTTGAACTTGACTATTGGATGGTAATGAGCAACTTCTCTCCCTTACTTGGTTTTTGGCACTCCAATTGTTATCAGGGGAGTTTCACTTTGATCTATTTTCTTGTTATTATTTCTTTATTTTATCTCCAACATTGAGAACAATGTTGTCTTAAGTGTAGGGAAGAGGTGAATGAGTGAAGTGAAATTTTTTATTAAGATTTTCAAATTTTTGTTCTTATTGTTGATTCCCTGATAGACAATGGCTTGTATTTCGAGTTATTATTATTAAAGTTTATGTGTATGAATGTGTTAAGTGTTAAGTGCTTCTTTAGTGAATATTTGATATTTTGAGATTTTTTTCAATTTTGGCTAACTTTTCTAGGCATTGTAAATAATTTTCTAGCATTTTTCTTGTGAATTTGGCCTAATTACTAATCTTATTTTTCTATATTATTGGGATATAAAGCAGGCTTTTGTGTTTTTAATTGTACTTAAATGCTTATTTTTATTAATTTGACTACAGTCCATTGTTTGTCATTGCCTAGTAATCGGAGGTTTTTATCTAAAAGTGTCGACTTTCATATGAAAAATTAGCAATAATTATGAGTATGTGATTCTTAAGCGATGAAAGTTGAGTAATGTTGGAGTTCACATAAAAAGGTTTAAATAGTAAAGAATTAAGTACATTCCCCTTGTTAAAACAAAAAAAAAATAAAAAACTTAAGTGTAGGGGAATTTGAAAGAAAAAAAGAGAAAAATAAAGAAACAAAGGAATAAAATGTGGATTATAATAATAGCCTGTGGATCTATGTGTGACGAGTGCAGAGTATACATATAGTAATTAGCTCATTCACAGTTAAGTTTTACATTTATAAAATTCTAAATATCCCACACACGATTTTTCGTGAGTATACGAGTCGAGAGTGAGTATAGGATATTAAAAATCAAGCCCACAGGAAGGAATGGATAATTACCAGCACTGCTAAAATTTCTCTATTATTTAGACGTTCAACGAATTAAAAAAAATAAACTAAACTATAAATGGACAGATAAATACAAATAAAAGCTTTTGGGTAATGGAATCCCTATCTATCCATCCTAGTGCAACTCCCTAACCAAATGATTACCAAAATCTCAGCTAAATTATGGCGTAGTTTTCTAATACACGTGATACCCGCTTTGTGAGAATTCAAAAATGTTCATATTTTTCTAGGCATTATTTTATTTTTGGCTACATTCTTATACTTGCCTTTAAAATATTAAAGTTTCTATGCATTTTTATAAGCACGTACAGTTTTAAATCATTTTCCTAGTATAAGTTAGTGTATGTTACATTTGAAACGCATTATAGACGTGGGGGGACCCGCTAGTGCAATAAAATTTTGGTGATTACGTGATTTTTGTGTTAAGTGTTATTATTTTATAAGGTGCTAGGAGATAATTAGAGGTTAGTTAGATAGATTAACCATTGGAAGATGGAAGATAAATTTGAACCATTAAAAGTGCCACGTGTCGCGACACGATTGAAAGTTGGACTTGCCTAACTTTCTTTACCTTTACTAAAATCAAATTTTGACCAAATGTTTCTTCATTTTTTTACCTTGTTGGCCGAACCTCACATTGAGAGAAAAGAAAAGAAAGCTTCAACTATATCTTCCATTTCTTGCACAAATCTTGAAATCCAACCGATTAAACCTTGAATTAGTCCACAAAAGTGACTTGTTAAGGAAGATTGAAGGTCTTGGTGGAGTTGTTTTGGAGGAGAAACCCCTAAACTACTACCTTTCTTGAAGTGTCAAGGTACCTTGCTTGGAAACTTTCTCTTTGTTCTTGCTAATGTAAAATTAGTAGCTTTAGTGGCTAAATATGTTGATTGTGGTAGGTTTTATGGTTGAAAGTGGAATTTTGATGGATTTTTTATTTATTAGTGATTTTTCTATTTTTATATCATAATTATTGTTTAGTCATGGATTGATGGCTTGTTATAGTGTAAAATGGAGTTGGTATATGTTGGCTATGATTGGTTGCGGAAAATTTCTGGTTTGGTGCAGAAATTTCTGTTTAGGGTTTTATCTTACTCTGTTCTGGCCGGTTCTGTTCAGCCATAATGGAGGCTGAATCAGACTTAGGTTAAAACATGAAAGTTGTAGCAAATGGTATTAACTAGCTGCCTACAAAATTTTAGCTCGATCTGAGTACTGTAGCATGTGAAATGACTGAAATACCCTTGACTGCCCATGAACCCTGTTTCGCGAACAGATTTCTGTTTTCGTGGAAATTTTCATTTTTGACCCTGAACATGCATGATTTGGCTTTGGAGGTCTTCATAACAAATGTAGGTATATGTCTTGGTTTCAAAACGCCATAAGATTCGTTTTCATCCGATAAGTATAGCTTCGGTTGTGGTTGTTATGCCGAAAGGTGTTTTATCACCTATGATTTGTATGTGAAATTGTATTTGATTTGGGATGAGATTTGATCTTTGATTGTAGGATGGAAAGTGAAGAAATTAGGGGGAAATGCTGTCCGTTTATTTTCTTGTAATTTGAGTGAGTTAGAGTGGACTTGGAGATGTGATTTTGTGTCAAGTTGGACGCACTTCATTGAGAACTACATCGGTTTTCTCAAAGGGTGTTAGAGAAGTTAAATTTCTATTTGAACTTATAAATTTTCGCTTGGTGAATATTATGACCATTTTACCATTTTAAAACAAGATACCTCTTCAGTTTGAAACTCGGAATGTTTACTTACTCTTTACCAAAATAAAGAAGTATGAATTAGGGTTTTTTCGGCCACAAGAAAACTACTTTCAAGTGAGGTTTTCAGTGTGAAATTAAGGTATTTTTGTCCTTCTTTTCACATGATTTTTATCAAGACATTTGCTATGTAATATCTACTTGAATATATGTTGATTTTGAGCTACATAAACGATTCCGAAAAACATTTCTTTAGCCTATCTAGCCGGATTCCAATTTGTTTTCGATCCAAGTGTTTCCCGTTGGGATTTTCTACAACCCTTTTGAGTTTAGTTTTGTGTTTGATTTGTGAAACCCTTAGTTATTTCTGTCATTAGATCCAAATGCCTCTTTTCCCTTTCAAAGTCATCTCTATACGTTCTACTCGTAATTAGTCAGATTTTCTTCGATTTCACCTAATTGTTTTGCTAAATGAACTGTAATATTCTCTCTTGCTTAATCTTAAGTTTCATCGGTGACTGAGGGTATTATCCGGAGGCATATTTTGGACGTTCTTTTGTTTAAATAGGTGAGTGTTTTTTGTTTGTTATATTCTTGAATATTTGGCTTGTTATGAATGATTGATAACATGTTAAATGCATTCTATGATTGCTAAAATGAGTTTTCTAGGCAAGTGTGTACTTTATCGCACTCGACCTAAATGAATGGAAAATTTACAATGATTGAATGATTATATGTGCATGAATGTAAGTCTGATGGTTGAACCGAACCCTGCCCTTCTTTACCGATCGACTCGTGCCAGAAGCGGACTCGGTCGGGCAATTTGGTAACCCTGGGTAAATGATTGGTATACTCGAGTATTACCTTATTGTCGGGTGGAGTCCGGCCAACGTGATTAGATCGTGGTGGATCATTAAAAGATGACTTGATAGCAAAAGCCACATAATCACATGATATGAGAGATGGAAGTAGCTTACCTAATTCAAGTAATTCATAGATATTACCTTGAATGTATGTCACTTGAGAACTCACCAAAGGAATGTTCATAATAACCTTTTTGGGAGATAACATCTTTAGAACCTACACTTTCAAAGCACTCCTCAAGAGAGGTTAAATATATATCATTGATATTCATCTCTTGAAGTTTATCATTGGTTCCAAGGATATTATCTTGCAAAATGGACATTTTCTCATTGAAACACGCATTAGATGGATCATTTATGCTAGGGTCATTTTATATATCATTAGAAGAAATAATTTCACACAAAACATGTAAATGATCTTGTATTCTACTGACAAGCGCGGGGTATACATATAATAATTAACTTATCTACAATTAACTTTTACATTTATAGATTTCTAAATACCCCACACGTGATTTTCAACAAGTATACGAGTCGTTTATTGAGTATAGGGGTATTAAGAATCGAACCCACTAGGAAGATTGTCAATTACTAATAGTTTTCAAACTCCTTTATTTTTTAGACTATCATAAGTGTAAATAATTAAATCTACACTACAAACATGAGATAAAAGTAATACAAATAACACTAGAAAGCTCCTTGAGGTATGAAATTCCTTACTACTCATGTAAATGAAATTACCGGTTAATTGAATTCTATTATCATGACTAGTTATGGTATAATTTCCTAATATATGTGAAACCAACTCTAGTAGTGAATCAACTACACTTGTAACTAAGTTATACCAACTCTCGTGGTTATGAAATTAACTACAAGTTCATTCTTTCTATGAAATTACATGAAACAAGTCATTAAAGCCATAAAGGTGCTCCTCTACTCTTGTGAGTGAACTCTCTAAATTTATCACTTCCTTGAATTAGTGTTAAATTCCAATTCTCATTGCAAATTTAACACCATAAGATTATCACAATTAATGGCCGGTTAATCATGATTACAAAAGTAAAAGTGATAAATAACTTGCACAAAATAATATCACCAAATAATCAAATAAACATCATTAACAAGATATAGAAAGTTCATTCATAACTCTAGATATAA